TCCTTTCTGTGTGGCAGCATCACAGAGAGCAACTCCCACCATCAGCCTGGGCCTCGGTTTGCTGAGACTCAGAACCCATGTTGGGCCCAGTTTGAAATCCCAGTGTAACGCTTAACAGCCTGGTCTTGGTGCTCTGTGAGCTCCCTGAGGAACTGAGCAAAGAGCTTAGGGATGTACAGCCATGTCGGTCAGACTTCAGGCCAGATCCAAGCTCTAGTTAGCTATGTGATATGGTGACATCGCCTTTCTGAGCCTCATTCCGTTCATCTGCAGGGTGGGGCTGGGAAGTCACCCCACTGACAGGGTGCATTGTCTTGATTCAGTAAAACACAGAACACTAGACTGTGGTAAAACACAGAACACTAGACTGTGGTAGGTGTCTAAGATATATTGCCAGATACCTGGTATTTTGAGCTTATTTTACTTATTTACTCTCTCTTAGAATGTATTTCAATGTTGATATTTCAGGTGAATGAGAAAACACCCTAGCCCCCCATCCTGACATGCTTTGAGACTACTAGACACCATCTTCTCTAACTATTCTTTCCCAGAATTGCCCATTCCCATGCGTGAGAGCCTTTGCTTCAAGCTAGATGAACCTGGAGTTTATCTGGGTAGTTAAATAGCATGTTTACATTTACCCTGAACAAGATGTGTCCACAGAAATGTCTGAAGGCCACTGGTGGCATCAAGACCAAGAGCCAAAGGATGCTACATACATGCGTTTTCATTTGCAAATATTGCCCTCCTCGTGAGCCCAGGAGATATCTGGGCTCTGGACAGGTGAGATGAACTCACCCGAGATCATCCCCTCAGAGTGTAGTGGTTAGATTGGTACCACACTGCACAAGATTCTGGAGCTCAGTGGGATGAGAGCTGATGACACTGTCAAGCATCACCAGGGCCAGATCATACTAGCCAGAATGCTGGGACAATTTATACATACACATGTACACACGCATATATATGCTAAGGTACAAAAGAGTCAAGGGCAGACATTATCCGATTGCTAAGTTTTCATATGGCAGTGACCTGGGAGGAGGCAGGTAGCTATGCAGATTCCCAGGTGAGTCATGCGGCGATCGGTGGAGAGATGGCACCTCCAAGGGCTGCTGGGGTCAAGGAGAAGGAAAGAGGTTCCTAGCTTTGGCATCGGGATAGAAGGTGGTCATAGCAGCAGAAGCCATGCTGGAGCACCCCAGGTGAACAGCCCAGCGTCATATTGTCTGCTGGGCCCTGGCAGTAGTGGTACAGGAGTGCTCTGTAAGGATCAGCAATGCCAGAACTCACCTGCTCTGCCATGTATGTAAAGGCAGCCCTACGCTCCCATTTCTGCTCCCTCGCTGCTTCCCCGATATTGGCTCAGCCTTTGTCTCTAGAACCCTGATGCCCCTGCAGCTCCAACTGCCTGTGCTCGGGCCTGCTGTCTCCCTGAAATGAGTTTCTTGGCACCTCATTTGCCAAAGCCCAGGCTTCAAGGCTCAGCCCCTCAGGCAGGCTTTGGTAATCCCCAGCCCAGCAACTGGAAGGCCCCCACATTCGGCCCCTTCTCAGATCTCTGAGCATCTTCTGCTCTGTGCAGGATTTTAAGGAATTTTGTGCCTTTACTGATGGAAGGTAGGGTATGGTGAGGGGTTAGCCAGGTAGTGGACGGCAAGAGGTGCAGAGCAAGAGGAGGAAAGAGGATTGTGGGAAGCGGGAGGACGTGTGCACATGTGTACACACATGCATGCACGTATGCACGCATGCACACACACATAGCTCTCTTAGAGGTGTGACAGGCCAGAGACTACCCCAGGCAGTTACTACCCCAGTTACTGTCATTTAACCTGCTCTGAGGCCTTAAACGACAGCTACAGTGACAAGATCAGAACTTGATGTGTGTGGTTTCATTTAGGGCTCACATTACTCTAAGGTTAGCGTTCACCCAGTTTGCAGGTGAGGAAACAGACTCACAGAATAACTTGCCTTGGCTTCTTCAGTGAGCGAGCAGGGCCATCTGCAGCAAGGGCCGTATCTCCAGTCCCTGTGCTCGCTGCCATTGGGCCTCAGCTCCTCGTCTGATGGGCAGAGTTGTAAGCACCCAGAAGGCCACCGGGAAAAGGCAATATGCTGTGGAAGCAGCAGGCCCATTGAAGCCAGGCAGAAGCGTTGACCCGATGGTCCCCTCAGCCTCCTGGCTCTGACCTCATCTTTGCAGCTGTTGAATAGAGATAATAGAAAACCTCACAGGGGCTGAGCAGGTCAGGATCCTGGTCCTGATGGGAGTGAGGATCTGCCAGAATCTGTGTGTGTCTTTATCTCAGATAAGAATAAAGCAGCATCCCTTCTCTCCCTGCTACTTCCTCTAGATGTCCTTGAAGTGACAGGCCACTCCCAGGACTGAGATGGGGAGAGAAGGCAGGGGTGCTGCCTGTGGGGTCAGGCAGGCTCCTCCTGGGAGGGGGTGCTTAAACAACAGAGGCATGTGTTTGCTGAGCGGACAAGAGGAAGGAAAGGTCCTTGGAGGCCTCATAACATATTACAGAAGGCCTTTGGGATGGAGATTCCTGGCAAGCTCAGCGTCCTCTCTCCACAGCTGATGTATGGGATACATGGGGTGGGAGAGGCACTTGTGGCATCCTGGAAGACGTTAACTCAGATCCTGAACTTCTAAAAAATGTATACATTAAATTGTCAGTGTAGGAAGGGAAGGTTTCCCAGGAGGGGTGCAGTCTGAGCAAAGGCAGGGGTGAGGAAGCAGGTGTTCGGAAGCCCAGACAAAGATCCATAGATTCCTGGTGGGAGAGAGGTAAACTGATCCCCAGAGTCTGACAGGCTCTCCCAAAGTCAGAGAAATCACGCAGCCAAGAGTTATTGGTCTCCCCCAACAGCCTTTCCCCCAAACCAGTCAGTAAGAACAAAGGGCCAAGGAGGATGCTGATTGGAAACCCTGCTCCTGCCCAGGTTCCTTCATCTCCTAGGGATGAACTTGGCACGAGGCCTTTGTAGGGGAACAGGGAGCAACTGGCCACCTGCTGTTCCCCATCCAGGATTTCGTTCTTGTTCTGATAAAGGAACAGGCCCCATAACAGCAGCTTACATTAGGTCCAGCAACAGTCTGAACTGTGACACCCAGGGGGTCATTGTCTCTGACTCGTCCGTGTCCTTGTGACTGTACGGGAAATTCTGCTATGGCTGCTGCTCTTGCCTGGGCGGCATCCTCTTCTGTAACTGCAGCAACTCCCTTCTCTGTCCCTTCCCTAAGTCCTCTGTACCACTAACAGCCGAAGGTGACTTCTTTCTGTGTGTGAGAGAGAGACACTGTCCCCATTCCTTGTAGACTGTGTTCCTTCTAATTCCCATATGACTCTGTCCCCCTAATTCCTAGAATACACATCTGACCCTGATCCCTTCCCAGGGCCTGCCCCTCTGGGGACAAGATCATAAGCCAGGTGGACCACAGGATCTTAACTCTGCCCACAGACTTCTCTCCAGAAATATCCCAAACTTCCTAGCAGGTATTGTACCTTTAAAGTTGACGAATAGCCAGAGGCTCAGGAGAGAGGGAGAGCCTTTAGTGACTTCCTTCCCCTGAGGGGGAGGCTAGAGAAGCCCTGGCCCTCAAGGAATATGGCTGTTCCCCTCTTTGTCCCCAGCTTCCTGCTACTAGCAGCCCAAGGGGACCTGGTGCCAGAAGACTGGAGTCACCTGGGTCCTAACCTGGGATAGAAGCTCATGGCTGGTACATCAGCCCAGGGCATGGGGAGAAAGCCAATGGCTCAGTCTCTTCCTTCTCAACAAGCACAGACACCCACCTAGGCTTTGACATCACATTTGGCCTATACCTTAGCTTTGCTTTGTCATGTGACTTTGGGCAATATGAGGACATTGATGTCACATGCTTCCGGGTTTTGTAGTTAAACACTAGCGCCATGACTGGAGCAGCAGGTGCCAGCCACAGTCGAGCTTTACCGCACCCTGAAGTGCACATAGCCGGAAGGCTGGCTGGCATAGGCAGACGATGGGGAGAGGCAGAGGACAGTCAGCAACACCACACTAAAGGCTGGAACTGCTGCCTCACCAGTCTCTGAGCTGAACCTCGAGGGCTGGGCAGGGGATAGGGGGCTAGTCAGGAGAGGTGGCCTTCCTTGTTGAGCGCCCTGCATCAACAAAGGCTGAAGACTGCCTTCTGCTAGAGGAGGACGGGCAGAGAGGCAGGCAGGGAGGCCGCAGGGCAGAACGTCAGGTCTGTAAGGAGAGGGCCTTATAGGGGTTATTTTGGTATGCCAAGGCACCTGGGCAGCTGTGGTGAGCAGGCAGGGAGGATTTGACGTGAGGGGACATAGAGGAGAGCTCCAGGCTTGGCAGAGGTTGCAAGGACGGATGATTGGGGCCATGGAGGATGAACTAGGTGACTCGTTTCTCCACACGTTCTCTGCCAGGAACCGTTTCACAGTTGTGCTGTGTCCACTACAAGTCCAGTACTCGGCACACAGCAAATTAGATGGTGAGCGCAGGTCAGCTGAGTGACCAGATAATGACTCAGACACTTCAGTATACAGATGTGACCATTGGTCTCACAGGGTTATCAAGGGTGATGCCTGTGTATAGTCCTTCATGGATAGCCACAGTCCCACAGTTGGCGAGGGGGCAGATACAGCATCAAGGTTGCAGGACACCCCAAAGCCTCTTGGGGATAGAGCCCTTCCAGTCCAGGCTGGACTCCTTCCTTCTGGGGTTCCACGCCCAGACATGGCCTGCCTTGGAATTGCTGACCCCAGGGGACACAGCTGGCACACGTGTGAGTTGTTATATCCCAAGTCAGAAGCAGAAAGGTCATCTTTGGCCCCAGTGGCCCATTTCTGAGTATTAGCCCTGGACACTTTGCTGGGGCAGCGCTCCCTGATGCTTAGGGGGGACAGCATGTGGTTTGGGCCAGAACAGGCAGGTTTGGGGTACTGTTTGCGGGCGGGTGGGCCCTCAGGGCTGAGGGCACCCCTCATCAGCCTCTCCTGCAGTTCGAAGGCTGCAGTAAAGCCTTCTCCCGCCTGGAGAACCTGAAGATCCACCTGCGGAGCCACACAGGCGAGAAGCCGTACCTGTGCCAGCACCCAGGTTGCCAGAAGGCCTTCAGCAACTCCAGCGACCGTGCCAAGCACCAACGCACCCACCTCGACACGGTAGGTAGGCCTGAGTGTGGAGGCCCTGGGGTGGAAGAGGGTTGCACATAGACCCTGATCTCTAGGTGGAGTCTCAGCCTCTGTAACACGGGGCAGGAGATGATCTGGCGGGAGTGGATAGTGTGTGTTCTTTGTATTATAGGATAGTTAGTAGGCTCCCTGGCTTTCTACTAAGATAGTTCCCCCCCCCCCATCATCCTCCAGGTGTGACAAACACAAATGACTTGGGTACGGCCATATGTCCTCTGCGGATGTGGATGGGCAGACTAAATTTAACAGATTACCCTACATGGCCCATGAACCAGCCCAGGCCTTATGGGAAAGCAGGTGCTCTCACATCCACAGTCTCTCTTTGACAGGCCAACTATGTCTGCATCCAGAGCACGCCCCTCCCTGCTCTTCCCACTCCTCACTTGGGGACAATGCAGAGGCTCTTTAGGGCTGTCGTTGGTGACATGTAAGATCCAGCATCTTGCCACAGCAGCCTGACCATCCCATACTGTCTATTCTGCTTCCCTGTCCTTGCTCATGCCAAGCAGCAGAGGCCCACAGCTCTGTCCCAGTTGCCCCACGTGTCCCCTGTGCAGATAAGGATGTCAGCAAGAATGTCGTCCCTATACTGACCCTATTACCAAGATCCCTGACCCATTTGACACAGGAGGAAGGTGGACTTAGGGGTTCTCATGGCTGGACTCTGGTGAAGGGGACAGACTCGGTCTTCACGCCAGTCTCACAGGTGCTGGAGAAAGTGGCGTGTCCCTTGGGAGGATCCCAACCCCGTGTGCAGCACAAGGCTGGAGTCTGCTAGAAAACCCCACGTCTGAACCTCCGAGCAGTTCTCTGCTCTGCTGCAGATGTGCGGGAAGCTGGGGTGGGGCTAGGCACCAGTTGATACACCTACCCTGTCCGCCGATGAGCAAACAGACGCCCAAGAGGGTAACTGAACTGTTAGTGCGAGTTGGAAGCCATAAAGCAGAGGTCACACCTGAGAAGGCACAGAGTCCTCCAGTCCTAGCCCTGTATCTCACAGCTGGGAAACCAGGTTCAGAAACGTGAACGGAAAAAAAAAATCACCGGCTTTGGAGCCAGGCCAGGCCCTGGACTGTATCTTCTTTATCCCAGCCAGCCCCATAGTGTCACACACCTGTCCCAGTTCAAGCAAAGCTGAGACCCAAGTCATGTCGTGTCTGTGTCAGTGACAGACAAGTGACAGCCAAATGCACTCTTGGCTAACTCCAATCGCAGGGCTCTTTACTGGAAAAGTTTGAAGGGTTGAGTCTGAACAGAGGGGACAGAATGGCAAGGAATAGTCCCCAAGTCAAAACCAACTCCCCTCCCCCTATGGCTGACCGAGACCTGAAGTGAGCTGTGGTACTCCCAAGTCCCCTTCCCCTTGGTCACCTTTTCAGCCTGGGGGCCCTTGGCACTCTGCCCTTGTCCCTGAGAGAGGCAGCGAATATTGCAGAGGGCACAAGGCATCCAACAGTGGGCCTCTGCCCCACCCCCACCTCCCAAGTCTAGGGCATGTCCCCATGGCCTCTCTAGTTTCCTGTTCGTTCCTTACTGTATTTAGACCAAGCCTGTGGAACAGAGCTCCTGAGGGCTAGGCCAGGTCAGGTCCACACAAGCCCACAGGGATACCCCAGGCCTTCATCTATAAGAAGTTTCTGGCAGCTCTAGGGGCCCCACTCACACCCCGCTCTCTGCCTAAGTAGCAAGGGCAGCTCCTTCCTTGCTGCTAGACCATGTATGTCTCAGCCTGCAGCCTTCAGGTCAGCGGTTGGGTTCACACATAGCACCTCAGCTTTCACAGGAGACCCAGCTATAGCTCCTGCTATCCCTGGCTTCAGAGAACATGGGGCCCATGGCAGGAAGGAGGTTGGTTCTCTGGACAGAGTGGAGAAGTGGAGAAAGCAAGCTTCAGCTCTGATTTTGGCTCTGCCTCTTGAGAAGAGAGGGGGTATAGCTGCGAACAGGGCGGCCCTTTCTTGCCTAGTCTGTCACTCAGGGACTTAATGTCAACCGGATCCTGCCAAACCCTAGGCAGCCACCATTCCCAGTGTGGGCCTTGGTTTCCCCAGGGGCACTGAGAGAAGAAAGCTCCCTAAATGGAGACACACACACACACACACACCTCCTGGTTGTGGTGTCTGTTCAGCTGGAGCGGTTCTGAGGGGCAGGTGTGGGAACCATGGGTGGCCAGTGCTTAGCAGTACCAAACCTGGAGAGCCCTGAGAGATAGAGCTCTGTTCAGACAAGGAATAACACAGCCCCAGTCTTGGAACTTGTATGGGGATTCCGGGCCGAGGGTTTGGCTGGTGGTTTGGGACAGCCACGGGGTTTCCTGGGGGCTCAAGGGAGCTAGGCCTGAGGAATGTTCTATGCACGTCAAGCCCTGGAAAAACAAACACAAAGATGGGTCTTGCTGCCCTGTTTCCAAGCGAGTGTGCCTGCCACACAGAGCTGTTTGCTTTTAGACCAAAGCCTGTGGATTTGTATCAGCATTCCCAGAGGACCAGGCCTGGGGCCAGTCAGCTCAGGGGCAGGGCTCATGGGAGAGTGTCCTGGGGTTGCGTGTTAGGGTGGAGGGGCTGTGTAAGTGTGGGACTCGCATGCTGAAGCAGGTGGTGGGCAATCCAAGGCAGGCCTCCCTCTCCCGCCCCTGCCTTCCTGTTGGCCTAGTCACCTTCTTACCGCCTGTCTCTCTCTTTTTGTTGTTCTCCATTCTTTAACCTGGCAATCTCCGTGGCAGCTCCAAGGTATGGTTCCGGTCATCTCTTTCTGCTTTTCCCCACAAGGCCCCGGACAGTGGGCATCTCCCAGCATCCCTACCTCTGGCAGGGACAGAATTGCCTTGAGGCTTTGTGGGCAGTTCCACTTGGTGTGTCTACTGATTAGGCATGGCAGTCCCTGGGGCTTACTCTTGAGAGGTGCCATTTCCTCTACACACACACACACACACACACACACACACACACACACACACACTGCCATTCCAGGAGGCAGTCCTAAGGGCTCTGAAGTACTCAGTGTGTTTTTAAAAAGGAAGCCTTGTGAACTTCATGCCCCAGTAGTAGCTGGGGACCCCAGGTTGGTCCTCATGAAAGCCCCTGAACTGTGAGGTGCAGACAGGGCCATGAGTTGCCCGTCCCTGGTCTTGTGGAAAATGGCCAGGATTAGATGGCTCCCTCACTAGTAAAGCAGAGGGACAGTGGGATGACCTCACAGCAGAAGGTAGGCACTGCGACCTGTAGGAATCTCAGGCCAGTCTAGAAAGGATCTGAGCAAGGCTAAAGAGGTGACAGAAAGAACATTGTGGGGTATGTGTGGGGACAGTGGGGGGAGGAGGAGGACCCCAGTCAGTGCCTGGAAATGATCATCTAGCTTCCGATTATCCAAGGGTCCGAGGGCCATGGCAGGGTATTTGGAGGGAGGGCCATGGCTGTCTATGACAAAAGCGGTGGGACACTGCATGGGAAGATAGGGGAGACCCTGGAGGAGGAGTCTAAGCAAGGGTGGGGGTTGACTGGTGGGGGGTCCCTTTGTGCCTTCCAGGGCAGTGGGATGGTCACAGGGAGGGGCTTTGGCCATGTAGACAGCACAGCCTTCAGGCTCCTAGCTGTGCTCTTTGAGGTCAGCTCCCTCTGGTCTCCCAGTTACTGGAAGGAGGACCTTAGTTGCTGTGGTCCATAGTGCCACTTGGACCTGCTGGCCCTGGGATGTCCACTCTTCCTCTCTTCATTCTCCCGCCCGGGACAAGCCCCTGTGTACCCCTGCTCCACATACTGCTTTTGTGTCACAGCCAGTGTGAGTCAGGAAGACCTGCAAAGCTCAGTCAGTCCCCTCTTGCAGATAGGAGGCAACTCACCTGCACTCCCAATACCGTGGCAGAGTGGGGACACAGAGCCCCTCCTCTCCCAGGCCAGGTGCCTTGCCCACTCATCCTTCCAGTGGCAGGTCATCTAGCGGACCTTGGCCTTGAGCAGCAACCTCTTACCTGCCTCTCGTGCCTCTCTGATGTTACAGAAGCCATATGCTTGTCAGATCCCTGGATGCTCCAAGCGCTACACGGATCCCAGCTCCCTCCGCAAGCATGTAAAGGCACACTCAGCCAAGGAGCAGCAGGTCCGTAAGAAGGTAGGCGGCCACAGAGCCAAGACCCATCTCTGCAGACACCTCTAATCCCAGCTGCTTGTCCACATCAGACCAAGTGCCTCACACCCATGTGCACACCACTCTCTACACACTTGAAAATGCTACTGTTCTCCTATCTGCCTGTATCTGCCTCCTGCCCAGTATACCAGTCCACAAGCCTGCCCTTATCACCTCAACTGATTCGACATTCACCCACCAAAAGCTGGCACCCCTAACCATGACAACACTCATGCCCAGCTCTGGGCTAGGCATTGAAGATGGAAGAAAGAAGACACAGATAGTACCCCTTTCCAGTGGCCTGAGGCACACACCAAGAGGAGGCTCCTTGCCAAATGATACTGATGACAGCAGGGAGGTTCTGTCTGGCATAGATAAAGGGCCTTGGCCCATATGCAAGGGAACAGAAAGGTCTCAGGAAGAAGCACCAGGAACCATAAAGGATAATGGTTTAGGGGTATAAGCTCTGATCCCACCTGCGGGACCTCTCACTGCTAGCTTGGTGGCCCTTCTGCCTCTATGCTTCTTGAGGAATGGGTGCTCGTGCGGACTGAGTGGCAGAATATATATATCCAGGACTGAGCCTGTAGTTGGCACAGATTCACAAACACAGAAGGAAGGGGTGGGCAGTGCCATTCTTTTGCAGTACAGGCAAGCGAGTTCGGGTAAGAAGTGTGTGCCTGGAATGACCCATGGCACTTGTGGGGCCGGTGCATTCATATCTATACAGAGCTGGGCACTCACATGCTGGAAACCCTGCCTAGTATTTGAGCTGTCCTGAGGACATTCAATGCCCTCAAGTGGTCTTGAAGGAAAAAGAAGTACATGGCCTTGAGAGATTCTTCTGGGGCCATGTGGAGCATGGGGATGTCAGAGTGAAATGTACGTTCAGTGGTAAGAACAAGGAAGATAGTGGAGGTGACCTGGGCTGACCCAGGGGAAGCTTCAGTGGTGGTGCCCTTCATCAGGACTGAAAACCTGAAAGTCAGCAGGAAGCTGCAGGGGGCCCCAGGTCATGCAGTAAGGAACAGGACAGCAACCTTAGGCAGAGCACCCTGGCCTGGGCACTCAATCCCCAGGGCCGTGGGAGTGAGGGTATAGGTACAGGCAGGAGCCAGCCCAGCAGCTCTAGCAAACTGCCTTAGCAATGTTAGAAGTGAGCACTGTGGTCCACACCATGCCCTTGGACACTGCTGTGAATAAAACCGCAAAACCAACCCTCCAGCCTGGGAAAGTAGTTTCCGTTCCATGGGATAGACAGAGAGACAGGGTACCAGGAGAAAGCCTACCTCATGATGGAGATGGCATGCAACTCATCTTGGAGGCACTGGGAACCATTTGAAGGGTGGAGCAGAGGAGGGTAGAGTCAGGATATGCAGCAAGCCTGCTGGTGCAAACACCACCACATCCTTAACTCACTGAGAAGTGGGACAAGTCACTAACCCGGTGGCTCCTCAGCTGACATTGTACCTGCTGCTTTGTCTACCGTAGCTGGCATCCTGTGAGTGGGCCCTAGCTTGTGTCCTTTTCACACACATTAACAAAGTGCCCAATCACACAGCCCAGGAGAGATAACTAGCTCCTGATGCTGCCTCAGGGCGGCAAGGGATAGCTCAGGCTTCCGTAGGCTGGAGCTAGGTGCCAAGGAGGCTGCTGTCCCCAGTGGACTGGTGCCCAAGGACCAGAATCCTGCCCTGGTTTTCCCAGGCCCATGCTTGGCTCACATTGAGCCCCCAGGGACCTGGGCTGCAGATCTGCAAACTTCCCAACAATAAGCATCCATTAGAGGCATCGGGGATGATGGATCTTTCTGGGTAAGGCGACCCTTGTATTATGACAAGTCCTTGGCAGCCCTGCTACATTTTGGAGAGAATTAGAAATGCTTTTCTTCCTTAATTCTCCTCTCCTGCTGTTCCTAATCCAATCGACATTGCGGTCTGCAAGAACATGCCTTGGCCCTCTTTTGCCAAAAACTTCATTTACATGGAAAACAGCTGCCGGGTCAGGCGCTGAGAGCCCAGTGCGAGACTGGCATGCCTTCCCTGCCTGGTCAGCCCTCCCTCTGCCTGGGAAGGTGGAAAACCCCTTGCGGCTGACTCTCAGCTGCCTGAGAACACAGGCAAGGCTCTGGCCTTCTCGGCACCTGTTTTGACCTGGTAAAGTGAATGTTTGGGGATTTCCCTGAAGAAGGGTCACCGCCCATGCAGGTGCCTGCCCCTTGTCACCCAGTGTCTTCAGAGCCCCATCCTGGAGAAGTAAAGATGTTCCAAAGTATCCCAAGTGGTGTTGGCCAGATCATCCCAGCCAGGCTCTGCTGCTAGCCAGATAGCTCGAGTCTACACAGTAACTCACCGGGCCACTTCTGTGGCCCTTTGGAGTCAGGCAGCTGGAGCCGAGCCAGCCCCACATACGGTACTCCACAGATCATCTTCTCATTCACTGCCTCACTTCTAGCCATGGCCTGCAATGGCAGAAGCAGGGACAGCTCCAGAATACAGGCAAGGTGGGTGAGATCCAGAGAAGTTAGTTGTCCACTGACACACAGGGAGAAGTAGTGTGGGACTGGGCTCAGCCCAGGGCTCTTTCCCATATCCTTCATAGGGACAGGGAAGAGGGAGAGAGGCCCTCTGGCCAAGCGACATCACTCCTACTGCCATAGGTTGCCCTGATGGGAGCTGTAAAACCCCAGTAGTTACACTTGACCACCCATCCCAGTAAGTGCTGGGGCCACACCTCCAAACCTGATCCCTCAGCGACAGTGAAGAAATCCCTCCCAAGAGACACGGGACCCTGACTCCAGCCTGAGAGCTTCCCCCTTCCTCCTTCCCTGGCTCAGTGGGCTGAAGGTATGCCCAGCCTTTCTGGCATACTTCCTCCTAGGAACATCCTCCAGTAAAATCCTTGCATGTCAAATCCTGTCCTGCATCTCTTAGAAGTCCTTACAGTGTCCACTAGCGACTTTCCCAGCGGGGAAACCAGCACAGACGGGGTGCCCGTGGGCAGGTGGCCAGACACTCACACCTCCCCACTGCTTGCCCCCCCAGCTGCACACAGGTGCTGATCCAGAGGCTGTCCTGTCCGAGTGTCTGGCCATACAGCAACTCCAAGCATCCACACCTTTGCCTGCCAGCAGGGGGAAGGGCGGCCAAACCCTGAGCCAGGAGCTGCTCCCAGGTATGTGTGCAGGAGACACAGCTAGTCACTACCAGCCCAAGGGCACACGGGTAAGACTTACTGCAGAGTGCTTTACTCCCTCCCCCTTCAAGATGTCTTCTTTAAGTAGGTAGATGTTCATGAACACTCCTGAGTAACTCCCTGCTGCAATAAGAGAGCGCCCACTCCCCCTTAGTCTGCCAAGCCCCTTCCCCTTCCTTCACCAAGGTTGCTCCCAGAACCTGTCTCATTGTCCCTGCCTCTAGGAAGTCCTCCTCAGGACTGCCAGCATTTTTCTCCTGTCTCCCCATCAGCCTGTGACTGGGAACTACTCTGGGGAAGGCCTGAGTCTGCCTCATTCCAGAGTCACCAGCACCCATGTGGGGGACATGTGGCCCTGCCTGGAATGCTGCATAGAGTCCACATCCCTGAGTGTAAGCCAGATTCTAATCCACAGTGAGGCATGTCGAGATGCACCCGACCAATTCAGTCTGGACTTGAAGTCCTGTTCAGTGTCCAGCATGACTCCTTCAGAAGAGAAAAACCAAGACTTGGAGAGGATGGGCAGTGTGGTCGGAATCACAGCCTACTCACTGCTGAGTTCTATGGCCCACTGTAGGGCTCTCTGGGCCAGACCCTACAGGCCTGTTGGACAACACTCAGAGCCACTGGTCCAGCAAGAGCAGCAGCAGCAGCTGGCTGCAGGGCACACTCGGGCCATGGCAGGAATCCTGACTTCGTGGCTTGGGAACACGGCCCAGCTGCGGGCAGCATGGCCTTTAGATTGAGCTGATGGTTCTTGTGCTGTGCCTTCTCCCCTTGCTCTCTGAGGAAACCACAGCTACAGAGCAGAGAGCTCGGCTGCCCTCTGGGATTTCTTGAATTACTCTAACCGTTTAAAGCATTTTCCTTTTATTTTCTAATTTTATTCTTCGCCCCCATCATTGACGTAACAGCAGCAGACTAAAACATGTCAGGGCCCTTACCAGCCAGCCTTGGAAGAGCAGCTTTTTGCCCATCTGCAAGGCCTGTATGAAGATACCTCTGAGATATATACAAGAAGGGGTGCATGCAAGGAGGACTGCACAGTACACCCCAGCTAGGTACCCCAAGCTAAGGACTCCAGAGAGGTTCCCGCTGTTGGGGCCCTGGGGCCTGCAGCCCCCGTGTGCCTACCTTGAGAGGACTCACCGGACAAGGAGGACTAATCCATCCAGATCAGCCTCAGGTCAGCCTAGGAGCCTCTTTGTCCTCCTCGAGGGCAGGGACAGCAGCGGTCATTGTCTTTCTCAGCAGATACTGTCTCATTAGTGAGTAACACATCCTCCAGGACACAGTCAAAGGAGGAAGGCCCTCCTGCTAACAGCACGCCTGCCTACCCTGCTGCTTAGTCTGAGGAGGTGGTCTTCCTCCCATGCCTATTGTGAGGAAAAGCTGAAAGAAAATCCATCCCAGCAGCTCTTCAGTGGAAAGTGGTCAGCTGCCCACTGCTCACTTCCCTGGGGAGGAGCCTGCCTGATGACGACACAGAAACTGAGATCTTGCTCTGCATTGTCTCCTGCAAGCTCTGTTAAGGCCACCCTACATAATTTTTCATACCTACTGTGTGCCTGCTGTGGACGGTCCTTCACTCCAGCAAGAGCTGGGAAGGACGACCTGCCAGGCACTCCCTGGGGCTAGTCTGCACACAGACGCCTGAGGCACAGTGGGAAACAGATGTTAGGGCCAGAGGCTAAGTGTTCATGGCTGATGATTGATGTTGCTGCTTTACAGCCCAAAGTGGTGTGGTATGGGGAGGCTACAGGCCCAGTCCCCACTCCCACGGCCCTTCGGGGTCTGGTGATCTTTTCATACCATGCACCGTCCACGGACACGCTCCATCACTAACACGTGTCTGTCAGGGGCCATACAGCGGTAACGGCAGGGGGTAGATTTTAGGAGGGTGGGTCAGAAGAGTCCAAAACAGAGAGGGTGAGGGAGCAATGACAAGAGCTGGTCACTATCTGATCTGGAAGAGCACACTTATCTGGCAGGCATGTCTTCAGCTCTACGGGGTGCCATGATAGGTAGTGGGGTGCAGGAAGAGCGATATCAGGGCGGCAGATTAAGGAGAGTACAAAGTAGTGCAGGCTGAGCTGCTCCCACAGCCATACCCTCCTTGCTACCTGACCAAGGCAGGGAGGACGACACTAGAGAGGACAGCTTCAGGGTGCCTGGTAACTGCCCAAAGTTTCTGTGTCATCATCAGCAAGCTACAGTGCTTGTAGCAGAGCTCAGATCCTCATCATACACTCCAGACTCCAGCTCAGCTGGAGGCTCTGCCCCAAATAGGCACCCTCTCCGTTTGGTCCATGATGTTCGGGGAGTCTGTTTCTAAATTGTCAGACTAGGTGTGTGGAGAAAACTGGGCACATAAAAGCCATAGTTACCAACCGTGAGGACTTAATAATGGGACTTCTTCCGCTCCGCTGTCACCTAGCCACAGTCACCATCCGGAGTTGCAGGTCATCTGACCTTCAAAGCCAAGTGCTGCTCCAATAATGCAGCTTAAAGACACTTGGGACCATGTTACCGTGGCTCCCAGACTCTGCCTCAGCCCCATTCAGTTCCTTGAAATAGCCCCGATAGGTTCTAATCAGAATGGCCAGTCTAGGACGAGCTAGCCTTAGAATGCTAAACAGCTGAGACCATCCTGGAAGAAACCTAGATGTTCCCAGGCTAGTCCTTCTGGGGTCATAAAAAGCTCCCGTCCCTCTCCCCACAACTAGAACAACCAAGAAACAACCAGCAGGGGAGGGACCAGCCAACTGGTGGCCACTGCCCTGGTGTCACTGAGCGCATAACCCTGGGGAGAGTCCTTCCAGGGTGTCACCTTGATGCACCAATTCCAAGAAAAGTGGCGTGTCCGTTCATGTAAGCACGCTAGGTTAACAAAAAGGCAAAATTGATTTTTTTTCCCCTTTTCAGGCAAAGTAGGAGCATCCAAAACGATCCACCCTTGAGCTGATGATGTAACTCAGTGATAGCGGTCTTCCCTAGCACGCTTGGGAACCTAGATGCCGCCCCCAGCACCACAAAGCAAACTGCAGGCCTTGTTGTGTCCCTAGGCCCCATCCCAGAGGCAGCACCATCCTCTCCTGACAGGCTCCTTTGCAATGCTGCCACCCCAGTGGTCCCCAAACCCTCAGCTGGGCCTCTGATCTGGTGTTCCCATTGGTCTGTTAGCACACCTGTGTTGACAAGGGATAGACGTGATAAAAGGTGACTCCAGTCCTTGGGTGGGACCCTAGAGTAGGGTGCATCTTGGATCACTACCATAGTAGGCCTTCCTAGGAGCCTCTGGAGCTGGCCTGTCCAGGCCAGCTACTCCTCTGCAGCTCGTCACTGGATACCCAGCTCTGCCTGCCTGTGTCTGAGGAGGTGTAGTTTAGTCTCTGCAAACGGAGCTCCACTGTGAAAAGTAGTTCTACCAAGCCCCCAGATTCATTCTGTTTCTTTCCAAGGTCCCCATCTGCTTCTGGGGATAGAGCCATGCCCTGCTTTTCTAGAATAGCCCAATGGAGATTTGAAGCAGCCTACTCCATACAAGATCCCAGCCCCATGTGTCGTGACAGTCCCCTCCTCATCTCCGTCTGTCACGCTCTGACCCAGACAGAATGGCGCCGGCACCTCTGTGGCCCTCGTCCTTTGTGTCGTTCCCTCTTCATAAGCCGACAGTCACAGCTCCCAAGAGTTCATACCCTAGTGAGTAGCCAAAGCCCAGTGACATGTTTGGTTCCTTGCAGGTGTGTATCCTGGCCCTGTCACCCCACAAAATGGGCTGGCTTCGGGCATCCTGTCCCCATCCCATGACGTCCCTTCCAGGCACCACCCACTGGAGGTCACCACTGGTTCCCACCACCACCTGTCCCCTCTGCCCACAGCCGAGAGCACCAGGGATGGGTATGTATGGCAAGCTAGTCCTCAGGGGTCACACCTGAGCACTTGTGTCGGAGGTGAACAAGGCAGAGCGTGGCAGGTGACCTGCACACAGGCTGCCGTTACAGATGACAGCAGCCTGCATTTACGTGTCACTGACTGGGTCCTGTGCTCTGTATCACCTTCTGGGTACCACATGATCGATGTCTCCCAGGAACACCCCACCACCAGGGGCACATGCCGTTGGTCCCCAGGATTCCAGCTGCTCATAGCCTCCTTTCAGAGGCCCCTGGGGAAATTCTGCTGCAGCCAGGCCCCCTCGGGAGTACCCCTCCACTTTCTCCCTGGCTCTCTGGGCATTTGATACCAGACTTCCTATAGAAGGGCTAGCCTGGGTCACTTTGTTCAGTGTGCTCCTTGCCCTATTGGCTGGATCTGCTGAACATGCTGTGATCCTATTACACGATCAGAGCAAGTCCCAACCCCCACCCATTCTGCTTATCACTAACAGTGACTCGCTCAGATTTGTTGCTCAAGGCCTGGCCCCAGCACCTTCCTCCTTGTTCTCCCCCTTCCCAAGGCTGCGTAGTCTGGGCCACTGTACACCTAGGATCAGTCTGGCTTTATTCCCGAATCTGTGGCCTGCTGTTCCTCCCTGGGTCCTCTTCCCGTTCATTCATCTGTTCCTTCCCGATTCCTATAGGCAGGTCCCAGGCCCAGTGCCAGGCCACCACTGGCTTTATGTGAAGAGATGTTGGACAGGCTGCAGTTTGGCCATCTGGGGAAGGAGCAGAAAGGGCTGTGGAGGCCCAGAAAGGAAGCCAGCAGGCCAGATGGGCTGCCTGCAGGAGGTGGTGCTAAGCCAGGCTCCAGAGACAGGTGGAGGAGTGGGAAATTCCAGCAGGCATGGTGAGAGCTGGGATATGCTGGGAGAGGAACCACTGTGTGAAATGCTGACCTGGAGAGATGATGCCCCAGAAGCCAGACACAAGGCCAGTGATAGAGGTACCCTGAAGGTTGGGCCGGGCCAACAGCATGAGTTAGGAACAGTAAAGAGCATGGGATATGAGGGGGCAACCTGAGCTAAGGCTGGGCAGGTCGGGAGGGAACCCAGACAACAATCATGGCACAGGCTTGTCCCTGGCTAGGTGAGAGGAACCCAAAGTCTTAGCCCTCCCTGAGCCTCTCTCTTCCTCCATAAAAGGCATTGAAAGGCCTCCTCCAGGCAGGTGGTAAGGACCACCTCCCCAAGCCTGGTGTTGCTGGTGTCACCCAGTACATGCCTCATCCACAATAGCCCCTGCCCTTTCTGCCCCAGCCCAGGCCACCTGTTTAGCCAGTGACCAGCCTCAGTATCTGCAGCCATGAGACATTAAACCACAGAGGCCCTTACAGGGCATGGGCTTATTATTTGGCCTCATTCATCATCCGCCTGCCGCCGGCATAAGTACCCATCAGGAATGCCTGCAGCTAGACGCTGAGCGATGACAAGACCAGACCCCAGCCCACCCGCCCAACGCTGGCCTGCAGTGTGGAGAGAGTTATTCCCAGCCGCCAGGCGCCGGGTTCCGGATGCCTGCTGGAGAGAAGGGCCCCATGGCTGACACGGCCTGAGGCTCCCCTGAATGGGTTTCTTTTTCAGCCCCAGAGGAGAGATGGGCGGGAAGGCCTTCAGCTTCCCTCGCTTGCCAAAGTCAACAGGGACTGGCCACTTGAGGCTCCCCAGCGGTTTGCTGGGACATTTAAATAGCTTGACAGAATTATCTGATTCACTCAAAAATATGCTAAGAGGGCCTGACTTCATGACCAAATGTATTTACCCTGGCTCAGTGGAGACACCAAATTTGGTGGGTTTCTTTCCCAGCCCTGTGGAGGAAAGACATGGATCCCTGGGGCTGCCAGCCAGGTCCAGGGTAACTTACATAGGCTTCAACCAAAGCCCCAGCGTATGCTATGGGAGGCACTTGCCTGCCTCCAGAGAGGGCTCCAGATGACCTGCTTGCCATTGGAGCGGCACAGATCAGCCTGTGTGTCAGCTATGTGTATTCTATTCAGTTTCTCTGGCTGTGAAAGTGACAAAGGAGAATTTATGGTGGGTCTGAACAGAGAACGTAAACCTTGAAGCCACACACATTTCCCCAAGATCTGCCCTTGCTTCTGTGCACTGTATCCATAGGCTTTGGGGCTGAGTGGTTCAGATACCTACTTGTCAGGGCATCTTGGTGTATGCCTGAAATATAAGCACTCGCAACACTGAGGCAAGAGGATGGCGAGTTTCAGGGTAGCCTGGACTCAACAGTGAGATCCTGTCTCAAAAAGAGCCTTTATGTGGATATTGGCCATTGTTTGCCACATGCCAGGCTCCTCCCTGGGCCTTCCCTGCAAGGTAAGAAGGGGACACGGAAGGTCCTGCGCAGTCCTGAAGGAAAGGGATCTTCCGCCAGGAGGATAGACAGTGCGGTCATCTGGTTTGTGGCCTGGCCTTCACAGTTGGCATCGCACAGAGGAAGACCCTGCCCCCCATGGTCTGTAAACAGGAACAACTGGAGAGGTTAAGTCCAGAGAGTCTATGAAGGCTTGGCTCCTGGATGTCAGACAGTGACATTCTAAGTGTGTGGAGATGGCGCGGTATTGGCAAGGCTGTGGGGACGGGCTGCAGGGAGCAGAAGTTACCTCCAGTGTGTCCCTGGATCTCCTGTCCCCACCAGAGTCCTATTTCCTTCACAGTAGACACTGACCCGCCCTCAGATTCCACTGCTCGGAGGAGAATGCACCTCCCTTGACAGGGTTACCTAGAGCCAAGGTCCTAGATTTGCTGTCAGCTCCTCACGTTGTGGTGACCCCCCACAACCATAGAATCATTTTGTTGCTACTCCACAGCTAATTCTGCTGCTGTTATTTATCATAATGTAAATGTCTGGTATGCAGGATATCTGATATATGACCCCCAAAGGGGTTGAGACCCACAGGTTGAGAACCACTGAGAGCTGGTCCAGCACACCCACATGTCAAACCAAAGCCTTGGAGACTTCGCTTCTGCGCATGCTCCCTCCACGGTGCAAAAATGCACTGTTAGGCTGCAAGCCTGTGCATGTATAGATTCGGATGGAAACCTGAGGCCTGGAGAGTCCGCATCTAGCCTGGGTGCCATCACTACACTCAAGACACCTGCATCTCTCTCAAGCCCCATGGCCTCAGCTCACAAGAGCTTCCAAAGAACACAGGGTTGGGCTTGGATCCCTCAAGTTATGTATGAATGGAGGTGGTGAGCCTCCCATCACAGAAGCTCTGCAAGTAGAAGACAGATTCCCAGGGATGGAGATAGAACTCCCTTAAATACACTGCCCAGCAAAGTGAAATGCCAGCTTGCATGTCAGGTGCACTGGCTCTTCCTTCCCGTGGTCATGATGTTTATTAATGAGGACATATATGTACATTGTGCTGGGTCATTTGTTTACGTGGTTTTGACTGTACCCTCACCAAGACTGGAGAGGCCAGTGTTGTGTGGCCACACGGACAGAAGGCACTGTGCAGCTTCTCCAAACTTTGGCTTCCTGATCCACAAAAGGGACCTCTAGTGAATCAATCAGATGGCCTGTTCACCCCACATCCAGAGTCACCCACAACTGGAGGGCTGGTCACTATTTAACCCATGATAGTGACAGCTGCAACATGTCAGGAGGTCAACATAGCACCCTGCAGGGAAACCCAGGCTTCCAACATTCCCAGGTCTGTGTCTGGTGGAAGTTGCTAGGAGTTTGAACTCTGGTCTGTGGATTTCCAAGGTCATGGGCATCCCTGTCCCTTGTCTACTGGTAGTCCTGAAAACTGAGATCGCAACTAAAATATAACTCCGATTAGAACACGCATGACCAAGCAAGAGGCTCATGGATATATTCACGGCATTGTAGATTAGAGAAGGTGGCAAAGCCCTGGGTCGTGCCTCACCATGATGAAACCGTGCTTTTCTGTCCTCTCCAGCCTAGGACCTGGCCTTCTCTCACCCATGGTCAGCCCACTGAAAGGGCTTGGTCCCCCACCACTGCCACCATCCTCCCAGAGTCAGTCTCCAGGAGGACAGCCATTCTCCACGCTCCCCAGCAAGCCGACCTACCCACCCTTCCAAAGCCCACCAGCACCGCCTCTACCCAGCCCCCAAGGTAAGCTGCACCCAACCCCTTGTGACCAAGAGGACTGACACGGGGCCTGGGGGAGGCAGGTGGGTCCTCTGAACAACAGGCTGGGTTCTGAGGGCCACAGTGGGCTTCTGGCCTTAATGACAGGTAGGAGGGTCCTACTACTCGGAGGAAGACTGGGTGGTTGTGGTGAATCCAGGAGGTAGAGGGCCAACTATCCCATCAGCTGCAGACTGTAGCCAGCCGCATAGGACCACCTTTATCCCTTTCTTTCCCTGTGTGCTCTTGTTCACACCCTCGATGCCTGGAGCAGACAACATGGGGCTGATCCCCCCGCCCCATGACCTCAGCACTTCATCACCACAGTCCCTGCCTCCTCTTGCAGGCTATCAAGGCAGTTTCCATTCCATCCAGAACTGCTTCCCGTATGGTGACTGCTACCGGACCACTGAGCCAGCAGCCTCCAGGGACGGACTGGTGGGCGATGCCCATGGTTTCAACCCTCTAAGGCCCAACACCTACTCCAGCCTCAGCGCACCTTTACCTGCCCCTGGTAAGCTGCCCCAAACATCCCTTCCTCAGCACTACCAAGGCTAGCGCTGGTGGGGCTTGTGTACTGTCTCCTAGTTGACAGCCTCCCACGTAGAGACAGCCACCAGGATGACTGCGTTCCTGCCATAGCTTTGCTCAGCCGTGTCTAGGTGCTCTGAGTCCCTAGGCTCTCTGAATGAGACCATGGTCCGAATGGTGTTTCCCAGTGAGTGTTTATCAGGCACCGCTGAGGTTGGGACTGAGATAGATGCTGACCCTTGATTCACAGGAAGGAGCATGCCTGTTCGCCTGCAGGCCCAGGGCTCTGACAGTGGGCGGGCTGGGGATCTGCTGCCTTAGCCCTGGTTGGGTAGAGAAGTGCAGTGGACAAGGAGGGCTGCATGTTGTCCAGAGTTGGAATCAGGCTCTGTCCAGAAGGCAGATCAGAGCTCGGGACAGCACATTGGTGGTAGAACCTCCTTCTGAATTACCTAACCTGAGCCCCACCCAGATCAGCCTCAGGGTCCAGATCTGATGGCCATAATGTCCTACAGAGGGCTCTTAAGCAGCATAGTGGAGACTGAGGGACATGGACATTGGACACAGGGCCAGGCAGAGAGGACACCGGTAAGCACAGACCTGTGGCTTCATCATCACCGGGGGTCTGGCTGTGTGCACGTTCCCACACCTGTTCTGTGTCTGTGTTCTCCCTTCCTGTGCTATGGAGTGCACCTCTGTGCATGTAGCTGGCACATGCACACAGATCCCCCATGGTTACCCACGTGGAGACTCACAGCTGACTCCATAGACAGGTGTGTACCTGTGTGCCTGAGCAGGTGGAGCTGCTTCAGGTTGCTGTGCTTTCTATACATAGTCCTGTGTGGTAGACACTCGTCTGTGGGTAGATATGGGCCACATTTAATACATGACAGGCCTGTGTGCAGGCCTCCTGTGGGATCAGGTACCCACTCTGTTGCCTGCCACCATCCCGTGCTTCTGGACCCAACCCAGGGCGGCTTTATTGATTTAGCAGCCTGACACCCGGATAGGAGGCTTCTTTGGGTCTGTCCCCAGCATCTATTCCAACTGTACTCAACTGCCTCACTGCCAGGCACCTCCCATCAAGATGACAATAGGCTGAACCAACACGTGCACAGGCCAAAAGGCCCCAGTTCACCCCATTCCCATTGCACAGATGTGGGAGACCGAGACCCACTTCCAAAGCCGCAGACATCATGACAGCAGCTCAGGGACAGGACTTTGGATAGGATGGTCCTTCAGGTCTCTGCCTCAAGTCAAGGATCCCTAAGCAGTGACCTCACTCTGGAAACAGCATGTCCACCAGAAAAGCCAGGCATCCCTAGAGCCAGATGCACTTACTTGCATTTAAGTTCTAGCCCCCTCCCTACTTACTAGCGGTGTGGCCTTAGACAAGACACCTGCCCTCTCCAACCCCATCCTTTCACCCTAAAGATAGCGGATCCCGCGTCACAGAACTTCTGTGGAGTAGGCTGGGCTTAGTGATCGCTTACTAAGATGCTGGCTCCCCGCTTGTAGCATCTTGAGTCTGGGGTCAGAGGTGGGGACCTGCAAGAATAAGGACCTGAGTTCCTTCTGCCAAGAGGGGCCAACCTCTAAAGGTAGGAGCTAGGATGCTCTCACCCCATCCCTCCCTCCACCACAGTCAAGCACTGGAGGGGCTGAGCCAAGCCTGTCTTCCCAGCTACCCCTGTGACTCCTCCCCACCAGGGTCACCAGCTCCCCAAAAGGAACATGAGAGGAGGGATCCAGCCTCTGCCATCCTCCCGCTCTGACCCCTCTGCTGTCTGCCCACAGGCTACGAGGCCCTGGCAGAGACCCCGTGTCCCACAGCACTGCAGCCACAGCCGTCTGAAGACCTGGTGTCCAGTGGTCCCGAGGACTGTGGCTTCTTCCCCAATGGGGCCTTTGACCACTGCCTGAGCCACATCCCCTCAATCTACACCGACACCTGAAGGAGTCCTGCTGTCCCTGCCTGCCCGGCTCCCAACACCACTTCACCTGCTTGCCGTCCGTCCTGGTGCTTCCCACAGGGACAGCCAGGCCGCGTCCAAGGGCCACGTCCCTGCCTGGAGGACTGTCTGGTCTCAGAGCTGCCTGCCAGGAACTGTGGCCCTGTGACAGCCCCTTGACTGTATCTTCCTCTCTCGCCCTAAGGTTCTCAAATCACAGACCTCGTGTATATACAATGTACAAGACCTCTTTTCCACCTCCCTAGGAGTTTTATATTTTTGGTTTTACAAGAAAAACATTAAAAACTGGAAACTAGATATGAAGGCCTGGTTCTACTGTGGAATTCAACCTAAAGCCTGAGGCCAGAAGCTCAGAAGAGCATGCGTCAAGAGCCCAGGGCTATGGAAACCTCTTCCTCCATCCTATACAGTGGTCCTTACAGACCCCAGGTGGAGATAGCCCCAGGACTGGGGAGGAGATGAGGACTGAGAGGTGCTCAAAGACAGTTCACACACACACACACACACACACACACACATGCTCATGCTCACACACGCACACGTTCACGCTCACACACACTCACACACACAGGCAAAAGTTGGTTCCTTGCAGACCAGCTGGGGTGTAGGGAGCACCGTGCTCAGAAGAGCCCACACCCACACATGGCCCCGGCTGATGGAGGGGGCCAATTCTGAGCTCTCCTTCCACTTTGCCTGGCTCCAGTGTCCATTCCAGACAGCAGACCCACGTCTAGTCTGTACACATGGCCTAGAAGGGGCTCTTCATGTCATTGTCACCTGAGAAAGGAAGGAAAGCCCCCCTCATCTCTATGGGTGGGAGGCCCAGGGGGACTAAGTTCCCTGCTCATATCCCCTCTGCGCCAGCCCTCCCCTGCTCTGGAAATGCCCTTGGGAGGGTCTTCTCCCCCGCTGAGCTGCAGCCACTGGGACACAGCCACAACCCATTCCACTTGGCTGATATGTACAGAGGGAGGGAAAGGGTCCAGGTGACCCCCTTAGAGAGGAATCTGAGGCTCCTGGGCCAAGCCGGGCTGCATGCTTGCTCCCTCTGCCATCTAGTGACACCTCAATCACCCCAATTATGGGAGTCCTTCCCAAGGCCTCGAAAAGATCACTGTTCTATGTTCTGGGGGTCCAGGGCCCTGTGTGACACCAACATGGTCTGCAGGGTCAACGCCTGAGCCTCACAGTAGTCCTGCAGTATTAAGCAGTCCACACCCCAGGCTTGATGGCAGCTCTTGGTTGTCCTTCAAACAGCAGCATGGACCTGATGGCCACCCTCTCCCTAGACAGCAGCAACCTTTCCATATCGGTTGTCTGTGTCTGAGAGAGCCACTCGTCCCATTGCATAGATGGAGAAGCTGAGGGATGGTGAAGTAACCTGCCTGTGTGATACAGTGACCCTGTGCCTTTGACCCTCAGACTCAGGGTTCCCTGCCTCCCATGTCGGTCCGACTCAACCCCGGCCTCAGGACCCCAGTGAGGACAGGCCAACCTAAGTCGCAGCACAAAGGGTCCCCGACTCCCACCCAGGATGCCCTACCTACTCCACCCCTCCTCTCCTTCTTGTGGAACTAATTAGGCTGTGGGAAATTTCCTTTAGCAGGGATGCTCAGGAGTCAATGTCGCATGTCATTGCGGGCTCTAATCCACTCCAGATAAGCAGAATTAAACTGTACAATGAGGACATATTTCTATTAATAATGAAAAGGGCTGAGCCTCGAGCACACGGGGAACACACAGGGTGCTGGCAGTTGGATTCCATTTAGTTTCAGAGCCGAGAGAGGGAGAAGAGGAGACAAAGGCTGTTAGAAACTGAGACCTAGGAGACAGGCAAGCAAGCTCAGCAGGGTAACAAAGGCTTGGACTGCCATGGTTGCTGGGATTCCTCCTCCCCATCCGCACTCATTCCCAGCATCCTTAGGGGCTCAGCAGTGCAGGAGGTTTCTCCATATCTCCCTTCCTCAGCCAAGCAAGGCTTCCTGGCCACTCCTCAGCTCTGTCCCTTAGATCAGAGAGCCTGGGAACATGCCTGCTACCATTCCCAGATCACATCCCTAAATGATAGAGGAACAGGACTGTCCCTGTCACTCAGAGTAAACTGGAGTTAGGTGCAGCAGGCTGGTATTTCTCATTGGGCCAGGAGAGTCATGGGAGGAGAAGGGCCATGCATGGGCCACAGCTTAGAGGCTCTCTGGGGTCTTTAGAACATGCAGGTGAGTCTGCCCAGGGATGCTAGGACAGTGCCCAGGCCTGTCCTTCCAGGTGACCAACTGAGGTTGTCCCCTACCTCACAACAACACCCTAGATTCCCTAGGAGCCCTGTACCTTCCTCTCTTTCCCCTCCTCCTCCACTCTGCCCCTCCCTGCAGGGCCCCTGGTCTCCTGCTCCTATGCTCTGTGTATGCGTCTCCCCTTCTAACTTCAAGGAAGGG